TTATGAGGTTACTCTTTCCCCATCAGGACAGGGGACGACGAATGCGATTCGAATCGATCATTAATATCCCTCTACGGACAGAAAAAATATCTTCTCCTGAAAAATACCACTAGTATTCATTTTCCCTGGCCCTGATCAGCCTTGCCATGTCATGCCATGCCCTTTTCTCGTATCTCGTGTCCCATATCCCGCATTCCATATCTCATATCTCGTTGCACTGATTTCGACACGCCTTTCCCATAGCACAAATAACAAAAGGTACCGCAACTTTTGAAACCGAACAAGCCCTCCGTCGCACAGAAACAAGGATCCTTCTCAGGAGAAGCCAAGGATGGATGGGAAGGATGGGTCCAAATCTTCACCTCTTATCCCGTCTCCGTGAAGACAAAAATTCCAGGGAAAAACTCCCCGAGACGCGGTCGGGTTGGTTGTCGATAACTCTGGAAACCTTCCCTCCCTGTTGGTGTTCAAGTGGCGGTAGCCTACGGATTTCTGTTGGAACCCATACCAATTCGCCTTTTGATGCTCGCCTGAACTCCCGTGGTACTAGACCTTTGATACGTCTTCCTGGTTTGCCTCGACCCATTCTCCTCGACAAAGCAGATTGGAGAGTTGACCATAGATATCCCTGCATCCCACCTCCTGAAAACTCTGATCCTTCTTCTCCTGTGAAGCGCTGCTGTTAATAGTCCCAGTGCTAGGGCTGGTGACTTGGTTTTCTGTCGACATATTGGCGGCATTCAACTCGGTCAGTGTCTGTCCCTTGGCTCTATTCCGCCTAACCCCCATATTCAGTGCAACTCGGGTTTCTTCAGAGACGATGTCGAGGGTGTTGAACCGATATGTCTGCCACTTGCGCACAGAGAGGTGCTTCTGGAAGAACAGCTCAATCTCCAAGTGGCTCCGTCCGGTTGTCTCACCCACACAGAACCACACATACGCAAGCGTTATGCATGTGGTCCCGGCGTACACGAAGCCCAACATGGGACCCAATCCACCGTTGTAGTAGATATACGGGCTTGTAAAGGCGATCACCCATACCGTGAAAAAGAACGAGACAATCGACGAGCTCATGATCTTGTTGCGATTGGGTCCCACGGCCATCTCGGTCGCGATAGTGAATGCCAGCGGACCGTGACCAAAGTTGAACGCCACAATGACAATGTATGAGATGACCACGATGGTTGTGCTAAAACTAGTCTTTGTGTATGGTCCAGCTCCGAGCCATCCGATGATGAGATATGCCACAATCATCATGATAGTCGTGACCAGGAGGGTCGAGCGACGACGTACTTTATTGCCAAGCAGGACCGACATGCCCACCGCAATGACCTGGAGTGTGTTGGTGATGACAGAAATCGTGAAGGCTTGCTTGATGCCGATCGACTGGGCAAATACAACACCATACGAGTAGAAGAACTGAATACCGTTGATCTGTTGCGCCACCATTGCACCGCATGAGTAGATGAGCTTTCGTCGTTCAATGGGGTCTTTCAGCAGTGACGTCCACGATGTCGTTGCTTCTCGAAGTCGTTCAGTCTCGACAATGTCAATAAAGGCTGCGACATCGTCATCTGGTGTGTATCCTGGTATGCTTCGGTTGATCTTCATGAGCGCTTTGGCGGCTTTCTCCGATTGACCTCGTCGAATGTACCAGACCGGAGATTCGGGGATGAAGATCAGCCCCACGAGCATCACCAGCGGCATCAAAGCCAGCAACCCCATGGGAATACGGTATGAAGCAGTGGTGCTGATGGATTCCGTACCCTGCGTGATCCCTGAGCCGACAAGTTGAGAGCACGACTGCATGAATTGAAACATCATCAGAGCCGGACCTCGAATGGCTTGCGGTGCAACCTCCCCAATATACAGGAGGCATGTCACTGTAAACTGACCAATCCCGAGACCGATCAGTATCCGACCCAGGCAAATGACTCCCATGGAGCCCTGGTCGGCACATTGCGTGATGGCACCGGCAATGATACAAATCGAAGCACCAAAAAAGACGCCCTTTCTGCCAAAGAAGTCATTGATCGGAGCGGCGAGGAGGGCACCGATAAGTTCTCCCACGTAAATGATCGAGGCCGTGAGGGACAGAAAGGTAGTGGTCAAGGCAATGCCTCCCTCCTTATCATGGGTGGTGCCATAGTCGTGCACAAATCTTGTCATCCCCAAGACTCCAGTGTAGTATATCTGGTCGTAGCCAAAACAAAGTGCACCAAGGCTGGAGACAGCACAGAAGAAGATGGCCCATCTGTGATGCCCCCAATTGATGTCGAACAACTGCATCTTCATCATGGCATCTTCGGTTTCCAGCTGCCGTGCAAACAATTGTCCGAGACATGGAGATAATATAGAGGGTTGTCAATCTGATACTTGGGCAAAAGGAACCGGTGCAAGCGGGACCATTCAATGTCTATCATGATAGGTAGCAATCCCTCGGTGCTTTGACCCAGGATGGTAAAGACCGTGGGTGGTGGTTAGCACTCACCCAACTTAGGTGTCTGCCGCCGGTCATGGCCTAGACTGCAGAGATTTTGGTAACGGGTAGTGGCGTCACCCACAGCAAGGATGTTTTGAGTTCGGATGGTGAAGGACGGTTGATACGGGCGTTGATAGGTCCTAGGAATCTCCGAGCTAGACGCAACTTGGCTGAATAGGGGGCCTGACCTGGACTTGCAGGGCTTTGGGGATTCGCCTAGTATACCCTAGGATTGCCCCTCTGGCCAGACCCGCCGACGAACGGACACAACGGAATGAAGAATGGCTGACAGGGGTACCACAGGTATGTCTTCCAAGCTTGCCTCTATATGAGAGATGGCGACTAGCTCGTGGTGATGGTGGAACAGGCACAGGACGCATGGCGCTGCCGCTTTGAAATTGCCAGGAGACCGTAACACCTGGGTCCAGCTCGCCAGACATCGTTGTCCAAGAGAAGCATCAGTGTTGCCTCACTCTTGACTCCTCTATGGCCTGATTGCATCCCGAATGAATGATGATGATGAGAAACACGGTCAAGCGGGACTCTTTTGAGGTCACTGGGTTCGGTCCCTCCCACATCGATGTAGGCTTCTCTCATCTGTCATGTCACCATCTCGTCCACTCTCACTCGCGGACAGCTTAGACTGTCCACCTTCATATTTCGCGCCAAACACCATAGAATGGGTCCTCTATCAGCCTGAGCAAAATTTGCTTGCTGTCGGGGAAGGATGGAAGCTCCGAGAACAACAACCGAACGCATCCAGTCGTGCACGAAGTATGTTGCCATATGTGTTGTCCTTCTCTCAGTATACGAGTACAAACTCCGGAATGCACCAGTTGGTAGACCTCCAATCGGGCCGACTGAATTCTCCGAGTGATTCTCTCGTCATTCGCCGATGGGAAATTTGCTCGCTTGCCCGAAGACCCTGGGAACAAAAGTCCGTGTGCTGTCGGCATATGGTTCGATATCCAGCGAGCCAGATAGCATCGCTATAGTTCCGCTCTGGATCTGTTGAGCCAACAATCTCCTAAGGCTACGAGGCGTAAACCTCACAAGAACAGCCTCCGATCGATCTCTGTTCCTGAAACTTGAGCTTGAGTTGGTTTTGACCGGTCCAACAAGGCTTTCTAACGCGAACGTCGTTATAAATACAGGAAGGATGCCTTACATCATTGGGCTTAATAGTGGTTCCTCTTTCGACGGAATCGACGCTGTGCTGTGTAGTGTCGATATTGCCTCAGATGGCCATCCGAGTCGCCCAAGGTATATACACGGCATCTCGGAACCATTGCCAGAGGAGTTGCAGGCCGATATTTTGCGGGCTTTCTCCAATGATCTCCCAGTGTTTGACCTCTGCAGGCTAAACTATGCTGCAGGTGCTGCCTATGCCGAGATAACCAAGAAGTTGCTCGACAAAGTGGGAATGAGACCAGAAGATATTGATGTTGTCGGTTATGACGGCCAAACAGTCTACCAAGAGCCTCCCGACAGAGACAGGCAACGAGAATATGTTGCAAGCGCAAGCCAAAGCCTGATTGAGCGATGGACAAAGGGCGGATTTGCATGCGGTCTATTCATCGTCGAGTCAGGTGTTGTCACAGCTCTGACGAATATCACAACTGTCACCCAGTTCCGCCCGATTGACCATGCATTGGGAGGTTCAGGGGCTCCGCTCATGCAATACCTCGATTTCTGCTCATTCCGCAATGAAGGGCCCGTTGTTTCACTGAATATCGGTGGCATTGCCAATCTGCAGCTTGCTGCTGCAGAACGGCAGAAGATGATGGCATTCGACACTGGTCCGGGTAACGTTATGATAGACCATGTGATGAAAGTTCGAGAAGGCAAGCCATATGATGCTGAGGGTGCATTGGCAGCCAGAGGCCAAGTGATTCCCACGCTTTTGGAGAGGCTTGAAGGTCACCAATTCTTCCTCCGGAATCCACCTCGTTCGGCATGGCGCCTGGACTTCGGGGGCCAGCATGTGGACACAATCCTGCACGATTACAGAACTGCATCGACCGAGGATCTGTTGTCGACTCTCACACTTTTCACGGCTAAGGCCATCGAGCGATCGCTGGTTGAATTCATTCTGCCCAAAGCGGCTGTAAAGACGGTCGTTGCCAGTGGAGGTGGTACCAAGAACGATACACTCATGAGGCACCTAAAGGGGATGCTGGCCCTACACGGTGTAGACCTTCGCGTCAGCGATGAATATGGGCTTCCTGCCCCATTCAAGGAAGCCATCAAGTTTGCAATCTTGGCATTTGCGTGCAAACAGGGGCTGGCCAACAATATTCCCGCGGCTGGCGGAGCCTCCTCCTTTGCTGTCCTGGGCAAACTGAGCTTGGCACCTAGACTAGCAAAAAACGGTGGTGTCATCTCAGAAAGTGACATCCGTCCGGGGGATGGATTGGATGAGAGCTGACCTGCTGGAGGAGTTGGCGATCAACACAATCGGGAAATACTCCCTGATGATGCCGGGATTCCGTATAAGTTAGATTAAAGTAACGAAGCGCTAGCTCTGATGGCCGACCTGGCTCTTGTGGCTCGCGACAGAGTAGACAGGTGAAGCCACACAGCCATTGCCCGTCCATGGAGTGGGTGGTGTACTCCTCTTAAAGTTTTGTCGAATGTTTCGAAGAATGTCCAACGATTCGCGAATATTGGCAGGCCTGTTCAAGCCTTTCTCAAGCACAACTTCGGCAAGGTCAAGTAAGTGATCCGGATCTCCATAGCCTTGTAGAAGGATTGAGATCGCCGATGTCTGAACCTGAAGGATGGTTGCATATGCGGCGACAAGGTGCTGGAGATTGCACCAACTCTCCAAATATTCGTGGCGGCCGGTTTGCTGTCTTCTTGAGTGCAGAAGAATAATCATGGTCGCGTTCTGCACGCAGTTGTGGCAAGACTCGAACACCCACGAATCCTGGATCGGATCGTATCCAGCAGGATCAGGGTTGGAGGAGTTGACCGCGTTTTCATATTTCACGTGCAGCACGTGGTACAATATAGGGCGATTGACAAGGAATATAGTTGCGTAGTATCGAAAACTCAACTCGTCCTGGAAACATGAGAATCGTGCGTGGCAGAAAAGGATTCTTGGCTTACCATGATGTGCGACATATCTTCGGAGGCCAAACAGAAGGAAGACGGGTGTCGAGGAAATCTCATAGTCAGGGGAAGGGTCCAGTACCACAGATCCAGACGCCGGGCAATATCGGTAACAACCGCCGCAACATGTCTTGGGCGGCAATAGGCTCGATCGATGTTGTACATGTGTTCTAGAATGGTGTTCATATAGGCCCTGAGCTGCAAGTGTGCCTGGAGCTCCCGCGAATGGTGATTCTCGACCGACGTCGCACTTAGTGCGTTCGTAAATACATTTGGAAAGGTGACTGCCATGTCTTGAGTGAGGGCAGTGACAATGATGGCATGCAGGCGCTCTGACGGTACTCCATCCACTTCGCTCAGGATATCGCTGGCCGACATTAGAACGCAACCAGAACGACGAACAGTTTGGGAATACCTTTCTAGGAGATAATACTGATATAGGCAAGCTTCATATTGGAGTTTGGCAGCACTGGAGACGTAGTCAGTGATGTACTTAACAAGCGTTCGAACGGACCCTTACAAGCCATCGTCAGGTTTAGGGGCGGTATTATAGACAAGGGGTTCAATATTTTGTAGGATGCCCAAGGCATGATATGGTCTTCCATACAAGTAGAGCAGCATGATGACAAACAAGAACCTGAAGGGCAGTGCCTGCGGGCTTTGGTGAGCTTGCACCACCCACATCTGTTGAAGAGCATGCCGGAAGGAGAGATCTGCTTTGTCACCCAGCACTATCTCCCTTGCAATGATGGCCATGTGTTTGAGAGCAATGGCTTGCACGAGGAGCTCCTCGATAGATTGCGTCTTGAAGGCGAGGATGACGTCGTGCCCGGGTGAAGCATATAAATGTCGATTAAACAAGTCGAGACACACTTCTTTCGCCAGTCCTCCAGACAAAAAGAGATGCCTAAGGACGAAAGGCAGATTGTTCATGATTGCAAACATGGACTCGATACCTTTGACCACCACGGAAGCAGAAATCTCTGCGGCAACTGAGGTTTCGAAACCTGCGCTAAAGAGACCTGTGTCGTTGTCGTCCACTCGGCCGACGTATTCAAGAGGCTCCAAACCGGGGATATCAAGGTTGAGCCGAAGGTTTGTCCAGTAGTTGAACATTTTGTGTGCGGCAGCGTGGTGGAACTGTGGCACTTGTGGCCAAAGCTTGATAACGGAAGTCTCTTGAGCAGGAGAAGCCGCAAGTGCACAATCTGTGCGACCATGGTCAAGGGCATGTAGCCGCGTCTCAATGTGTGTGAGACGAACCAGTAGAGATGCATCACTTGGGATTCGGGTCAGTGTAACAGTCCTCTCTTCAAGCAGCGATCGGCGAGGCTACCTACGTTTCCAGGCTGACCAAAGGAGGACGATAGACGCATTCCAGCTGCGTGGACACACAGTGGGAACATGAAGGACGGCCGCCATCACATCGAGACTTTCTCTTTCGACACGTGTCACAAGCCAACTCTGTCTTGTTGCGTTTTGGACGACTGTTGCGGTCCGGCACAGACTCTCGAGGCATCTTGGACACAAGACAAAAGGCAAAGGAAGCACGTTACAAGCCCGCTGGCAAAGAGGCGGCGTTTGCGGTCATATTTGGTCCTTTCGATCAGAAGGAAGCAGGGCTTGAGTGACAAGCATATAGCTGTTTGTAGGAATCGCAAGCGATTGCAGAGTCCAACAGCCAAAACGGGAGGTTAGTTGATGGTGCAGAGTGGATGGACGGGGAATGCCTGTCCGGCAGATGGTGCGAGGCTTCCGACCTGGGTCTCCAAACGGCCGAGATGTGAGGCAACCCGGGGTCATGGTGCTGGAAAGAGAGAGCATGGCGTGTCCATAATCGACGAGTGGATGGAAACGGGTAACTCTCGGCGAGTGCGAAGCCCTCTGGTGGGTGCGTGTCGTGCATGGTCGAGGTCGAAAGTTTCAAAATGGTGGGACGAGGCGCAGGGATTTTGTGATGCACCGTAGAATTGAGTGCAGTTTTACGATGGATCATTGCGCTAGCGCCACAAATCTGCCATGCTCCCTGCTCCATGCTTGCGCCATCCTGCGCCCTCATGCAACCTCCTCCCACATTCATCCACTTCACTGGTCATTGACACCCCTGCTCCAGTTGCTTTTCAATACATTTCACTACCTGTCACTTTCTGTCGTATCTGTTCCCCGCAAACCCTGGCTCTTCCTTGTGCTCGATGTATCGTTCATCACTGAAGGTAGGGCGGCCGAGCTCTCGTGTTCTGGAATCATGCGCCCAATTGTTTGAGTTTGTTCCAAAGCCATCTGAACTGCGTTAGCCTGACACCAGTTCCTTGCATGCCTTCCCAGTCCTGGTAGCACCATCGGCGAGCATACCCGCGCCATTGAGATTTTCAATTGATGATTGTCCTAACGATTCTCGGTCAGTGACATTTGATCGTCTGTTAGTGCGGTCTAGACCAACCTTATCATCAGACAGAATAACATTTCGGCCTCCTCCGTGCGTAAACTCAAGGTGTCTCCAGTTTGACGCCAGAGGGTCAAGACTGAGAGGCAGCAGTAGTGCGGTGCCAAATTAACGGGACGCCTAGTGCGGGTCAATCATTGGAATGAAGTGTCACACTTACATAAGTGACACCACAGCTTGCAGAGATCAACACGAAAGAATGTGGTGCAATAAGAGGGGCCTTGGTCGTTGTTTCACCATCAATCGCCACTATTTCCCTGCTTTCCGGACTGGGATTCAAGACCTAATACTGAATTCGGGGTCGGTCTAGATCAGACATCACATCAACCTGAGCTCTTTACGTGCCAAAAAGAGTGCCGATGTTGGAACAACTCTGGGCAGGAATATGCAGACGATGTTGCATCGCTGGTATTTCCCGGAAAACACGGACGACACGAAACCGAAGAAGCCACTCAGAAAACCGGGATACCTAAAGACAAGGGGGTGTAGGTATCAATTCCGATTATATCCCCTTGCATGAAGCCGAGAACACCTTCAATTAGGTAATGGGCGAGGCGAGTATTTCTGGATCCGAGCCCTTTCTCGGTCCACGGATGGGTCGTACTTCTCGCCCAGCCACACATGGCCCTAGGGCGGTCGCTTTCAACTATAGCTGACGGAGCTCAACTCAGTGTTCTACAAGGTATATTGAGTTTTCGAATATGTCGTTCCCATATTCGAAGTAAAAGTTGGCTGTCCCTTTTTGTGGTACTATTACGACCCAGTGATGCATCTGCGAGTCAAGTTGATCCGGATACCGACTGTGCTACCTTCCGCACGATTCAAGCGATCATTATTGATAGAAAATTGCCACCTTGAAGAGGCATTCATGCTGATCCTGACCTGACTCTTGGTGGCACGAGGCGGGTGAGTGAGTATGGTCAAATTTGCACAAGATTGACCGCAGGGGTCGACCAGCTAGCCGCGCCACATTCTTGCGGCCCCGGTGTTTCGTTATGATGCCCATGCTACTCTCTGAGTCTGGCTATCTCCATCCAGTTCCTTCGAATCAGCAACGAATCTACAAAAGATTCATCCTCGTGGCCTGTATGGTCGAATGGAGCTTTAGGCCGTAGAGAATCCTTGAGATACACCCGATGCTCTTGATTATCGGTCGACCTACGTACCAAGCGCAACTTTTGCAGCTGAGAACAATACCTTTGGGTCGAAGAATGACCGCGGGAATTCCAAGGGGTGATATTGAAATGTCGACGTCGAAGTTGATGCCACTTGCAATGAAAACACAACACCGTCCATACAGAGACTGAACTTTCTTGCACAAGTTTCCAGAGTGGTGCCAACACGACTGGATGGCATCTCATCCATATCTGAGTCGGTCAATAGTATCGAGGTGTCCCCAGCACTTGATATGTACACTCGATGCGAAAAGCGCGGGGGGTAGGTCAAACAGGAAATAGTGAATTGAGGACATCTGTCAACAGATATGCGAGCACAGTTGTCGTTGTCCTCGTCCCGACGGTATCACCCGGACCCCTATACCCCGATGTTAGTATTGGCTCTGGGGTCGATCTTGAGGGTGACGCAGCTGAGTCTCGTGGTCGTGCCCAAGATTGAATTTGGAATCATCAACTACTACAAAGATCCTCAAAGGAAAGGGCACATGCATATCCCGCCATTTTGGACATGTCCTCTATGGATTCCTTCAGGATGCTAGTCTCGGGATGAACAGGGAGTTGTTCAAGCCGCGGGCGAGTCTCTCCCTTGTCTACATGTTCCTCCTGTTTCTCATCTTACTTGGAGATTTACGGAGCAGTTGAGAAGTGTCGCTGGGAGATTTTTCGACCAGACTATGAGCCATAATGATCAAGGACCGCCTCTGAGCCCCAAGATTTCACTTTTGTACGCTTTTCAAGTAATCCTGACACTCACATGTACAGAGTTTTCCTACCACTATGCGACGTTGATGCTTCGTGTGCTGGACTGATAAGATAAGATGGGCATGCACAAAGTCCCGATACTTGTAGTCGCTCATTCGGCACCGACCCGCCGAGTTCCCCACTAAATACCTGCATATACCTCGGCACCACAATATAGACAGAACATATATTAGAGTCGCCAAAATTGCCCTGAAATCAGGGCGGTGGCATGGTGTAATGGTCAGCATGTATCGTTGTGGTTTGCGCCTGTCGCTCGTTCAACGAGTTGACGCTGAAGGCGTGTCCAGCTCCGATCCGATCCCGGTTCGATTCGTACGTTTACCTGCCATAATATTTCTAGAGGAAAATAATTCTAACAGTTCGCAGCGGGTGCCGCCACATTCAGGCGGATAGCGTCCTTTTTTTTTTTTTCTTTCCTTGTACTTGTATGTCACTTTTAGATGAAGTAACTTGGCTACGTAGCTTTATAGGGTAGGTATCTAGTACCAACCTCACAATTTTATTACTTTTTAGTTTGTGCGTGGGTGTGTAGTGAACTACGGAGGTGAGGGTCGAGTCTCACTGCAAAAACGTAACTGACTCACTCCTCGAACCTATCTGCTCGAAGCACACGAACGAGAATCGAATCAAATCTTGCAATGCGACCTCTTATTCTACAGTGCTGGTACAGCTGCCTGGGATATTTTTTCACCACGACAAGTCCCCCAAGCCCATGGACCTAGACCACTACCTCCAGGTAGATCTAAGTAGACGGGGTTGTCTACGCCACAGCTTCTTTCCTCCCTTATATTTGTTTCTGCTGCGCTCGCCATCCTCGAGGGTATATATACTATGGCTGTCCAACCCGGCATGGAGCTTGTTCTTTGCTTTGCAGCCGAGAGATTTGTGGGTGTTCTCGTGAGCCTTGCTCCGCTCACGCATATGACTTGGTTATGGCCCATTAAGTCCTCGAGAAGATTCTTGCCTGCATACATGTCTTGCTTGTACTTGTACGTCGTAGGAATGGAGGTCGGCTGCTCTACGGGGACATGGTTCGTCCACAAGGGTCAAAGGAAGATTCCTGGGGAAGGCCAAGGACATGTGCGACAAGTCAGTCGGATTGAGGCGGTTCTTTAGTTGACTCGATTGATGAAAAGGCACGAAAAGGGGTTTGGATCCTTGAACTCTCCGATTTTTTCTTCAGAGGTGTGTAGTGTGAATCTTTACGACTGGGTGAGAGGACATGGTCGCGTCTTGTTGACACTGTAAGTCGTCTTCAAAGGTGGGGGAAACGATTGATACCGGACCTAGTCTATGTACCTAGAGGGTCAGAAAGCAGTCGAGAGGCAATTCACATTCACTGAAGACGTTGAAGTGAGAAAACTCAATGGTATAGTTTCTGGGTCGTGAAGGAGGGATCGATGACTGCGTGCAAATCTGTGAGACTTGGCAGGTAGATCAAGACCTCGGGTCCCCACCAGTGTCAATGGTTTCGATCCAACTATTAAGCGGTGTTGGTCCCTCACGCTGCATCCCGAGAAGAGACAGACGGAACACCCCTGGAATAGCCCAAAATATGCAGCATCTCCCCAACAGAGACTACCCAGGAACAAGCACCTTACAGCTTCTGCATCTGTTGGCCGTGCGCAGAATCTTGGAACAGGATGGGAAACGACATCATCGAACACTGCAAGCCAGATCCTACGTAGTCCGGAAGAGATGAAACAGATTATTAACCAGGGCCCCAACATCAAGGA